CCTTTTTTTTTTTTCTTTTATTCCTTTTTATCGCTTTTCGTTTCGTCAACGGATCACGGTGGTTGTAATTCCACTGAACAAGAACGGCGGTGGTATTTCTATGCTTTTAAATTACAGCATATCTGTTCCGAACACGTATCCACATTTGTCGTCTGAGGTTATAATTTAATTCGTATCTTAGTTGTACAGTCGGTCGAAACCGATCTACCCGTGGTACACTCGTTATTTTTTCTACACAAGAAAGAAGAATATGTACGTACATGTACGGTAAAACGTTGATTATTCGAATTAATTGGGAGACAAACACGTTCGTATAAGAGGCTCTTCGGATGATAATCAGCCTGAAAGAATGAAATTTGTGAGTATGACATAAGTTGACTGAAAATAACACAATTTTCAAATATCGATGTTTATTACGCAAAAGAGTACATGTCTAACAAGAGAAAAAGGCAGTACAGAAAGTAAATTAAACGTTCTTGTAAACGAAATCGTGTTGCATTTGTATTTTGCAATTAAATGTATTTTCATATCTCCTTAGAGGCTGTACAATTTTAATTAAAATACGTTGCTTTTGTTCCTTAGGAATACTACGGAAACATGGTTTACTAAAGATAGAATCTAAAATATAATAGAAAAATAGTGTAAAGTGACGCATTGTGGCAGCTACGCCACTGCCGCCACGTCTTTACCAGAATATGTTCAACGTTTTTCCAATTTCTCCAACTTTCATTTTTTACTTTGCCTTTTGATTTTCTTCTAAGCCTTCGTTCGAATTCGCAAACTCTTGGACGCACACGTGGCGACCCAGGGCCGCGTGAGTTCGAACGATGGCACTACCAAATTTTCCAGGACTCTTTTCTTATCTCTGTTTCCTCTCTTCTTCTTCCAAACATGTACAGGATATCTGCAAATTTGTGCCGTTTGAAGTAAACGGTAGTTGATATGAAAATAATGTAAGAACGTTTTCTTTATCGCTCTTCACATAGATAATGTAAAGCAAATATTTTTCGTTCAAATATTTCAAGGCCATCTCAAGGTTGCTATGAATTTGTAAATAGAACCGCTGCATTTCAATTCCAACGTAATGAAAGAGCAAAAGAAGGCGAATTAAAAGCACCACTTGAAATTACCTGCAATCCACCTAAAGTCCCAAAAGAGAAGACATTGTTGAAACGGATAAATATGAAATTTTCTGTTCTTTTATTCACTTTGTACACAGGGACTGTGTCAAATTTCTCTCTTCAGCTGTTAAACATTACCGTATCCTGTTTTGAAATGATCGTTTCACTCTACGGGCAACCGTGCAGAAAAAAACAACGTACAAAAGAAGAACCGTGTAAAATAAAGGAACGGTGTAAACAAGGCGTTTAAAAATGGATTTACAGCAAAGAAGAAAACTTGTGTTAAACTAACGTAAACTGTGCAGAAAGCAATTTAAAATATAGAGGTGCGTTCAATCGAAATATTTTATTTAATAAACTTATACAAGAAAAGTTAATGAAGAACAAACAGCTGCGCTGTATAGTGTATTAAAGAAAAGATGGATTTGGAATATTCGTGCAGAATGACATTTTCTGTGAACTGATTAGTTTGCGTTTTTGCAACTGTGTTAAAAAGACAGTGCAAAAATTAATCGTGCGAAGAAATATCCAGGTGTACTTACAAATGCATTACTAATTCGCCTCTTCATGTCTTCGATAGTAACTTGGTGCCGTTTGACGAATAATACTTTTTGAATTCCCTGTAAGAAATAGTTTAATGTGTTACGTTAAGAGACTCCGCAGGCTAATTTATTGGTCCACCACGTCCAATCCATCGATTGGAAAACATATCTTCATTATTTAACTGCTTTTTTGTTATTGATGCATAATGTGGCGAAGCGCCATCATGCACTCATTTAAACGCACATACAAACTCATTTTATCCAAAAAGATTGGTAAATCATTTTTCTGAACAAATTCAATACAGTGCAAAAGAACAGGAAACTTCATCCTTGTTCGTTTCAATAATGTCTTCTCTCTTGAGACTTTGGGTTGATACAAAGTCACTTCAAGGTAGTGTTTTCAATTTGCCTTTCTTTACCCTTTTATTATGTTGGAATAAAAATATAGAGTTCTATTTAAAAAAATACAAAGCAATTTTGAAATGACCTTGAAAGACGTAAACTAAAAATTTTTGTTTTATTTTATCATTTTCTGCAGGAACAACGAAAAAAGAAAACGTTACATTGTTTTCGTATCAATTACCATTCAGCAGATATTTCAAAGGACACAAATTTGTGGACACGCTGTATAAGGAAAGATTTTTTATTTATACGAGTTCAATTTATCGGGTTATGCAAGAATATTAGATTAAAAATGGCGTAGTTCGTTTCGTATCAATTGTACGGTCAAGGAGGGTTCACCTGAGTCTTTGGGGACTTGCTAATTTACGACCATCTATGGGTTAGAAGTGCATCATGTTGCACATCTTTGAACTCGACTCAGAAAACATTGTCATATTTTAAATATAAAGGTAATGTATTCCTTTTAAAAAGATCAAGATAACCTTGAAATTTCTCTTGCCACTGCACTTACAGAAAAACTATATGCACTACGTAATATCTCCCTTTGTGTCAAAAAAGTTTTGTAGAAACAATTTTTCCATATCTTCACTCGCTTACGAAATATTTAGTCATTCTCAATTAACTCAGACGCACTATACAGGGTGTCCGATTTTAATATATTATTGCAAATATTTTGAAAAGTACGTTGGCTAGAAAAAAATTCTTTTGGAGGTTATAAAAGATCGAGGGGGGCATTGTAACATATTACTAGGTGGAGGCATTAAGGTTAGGCGACAGTAATTAGGGTTTTTTTTTATATGGAAGCATATATTTTTAATGTATTAATAGACGCAACTCATCATTCTGTATAAAAAAGTATTAACCCATTTATGTAAAAAAACCATTAGTTTAGGAGATATCAAATAGTACACCTACTTGCACTTACATACTTGCACGTCCATGAATCATGGGACAACTTACCATTTTACAGATTTAGTTACTTATTTCGATATGAACCGTTCTATTGGTAACAATATATTTAAGGAATATATTTTTATTGATATGGCTGGTATTTTATCATAATTAATACAAAAAGAAAACTGAAATATTTATAATGAGGTTTAACACTAGAAATTGTGGGATGAATTAGACAGAAGAAGTATTCGGAAATACTGTTCAACGCCACAAAAAGATCTGTGGAAACATTTGCAGCGGTCCTGGAGAGAAAGCCAGGAAAAAACTTAAAAAAAACTCATCGCAAGACTGCCAAAATTATGTCGTCATCGCGAAACGAGGAGCGTACCATTGGCGAGAAAATTTAAAACATTGTATGTACAATTTTCAATATATTGTAACGTTAGAAAACTATATTCGATGCAAGTAATCTGTAAATAATCATTTGATTTAATAACACGGGTGTTTAACGGTGTTAATTTAAACGGAAAGCTCAAGTTAGTAGGTGTTCCATAAGTTATGGACGGGGTGTGTACGTCTTCTGAAATCACACGTGGTATGCTCTTCCGCAGAATGGTAAAGTGTAATGACACGAATTCAACCAGACCATTTCACGTGTGACTTTATTGAAGAATATATGAAGTAAGACCATCAAGTTTTCTCGATCTTTAGTATAAAATACGTTGAAATACATCAGTCATTATTTTCGTTGTCTTATTTCATAAATTTTTTGAATAAAGTCACGCCTGAGATGATATGGTTGAATTCGACTCGTTACACTTTATAATTTTTTTAAATTAAAACGCTACGTATCATTTCTGAAAATGTAGGTGGAAGTAAGTGAATTGGTACTACTTTGCAATATTAAAATTCAGATATCTCTTAACCTAATAGTTTTTTCACATAAGCAAACTAATATTTTTCTTTAGGGATTGACGATTTATATCGATTATGAAATACTTATATAATTCCATTTAAAAAAACGTAAGTGACCTTCGCCTGACTTCCACTTACAATTAGTAACATCCTGTCGCATCTTACGATGTATCCCTCGATCTCTTGTAACCCCCTAAAAGCATTTTTCTTCTACCCAGCGTACTTTTCGAAATATTTGCAATAATAGGTTAAAATAAGACACGCTGTATATGTATTACATATAAAAAATTTTTCTTATCTTATGATTGTTATGATTGTTGTCTTATGATTTATTTGAAAATGTCTTTTACGCTTTATCGATATTTTCGATTTATTCCTCCGTGTAAAATTACCTTTCGAGTTATATTAATTTAGAGACACTCAGTATTTTCTGTCACGGTGAATTTATTAATTTTAACCATGTATATATGTATATTTTGATTTCTCAAATTAAATTTTTCGTAAAATATTTCTTTTAATTAATATCAATTGATTTATCGATAATTTGTACTTTTTTTTATTTATTTATTTTTTTCTAGTATCTTTATACATACAATGAAATAAACATGCACTCGTACTAAAATGTAAATATCTTGACACATTAGCATTTATAGCTATATTTTGCATATTCGTGACATATTTTACTCGTTTATCTTTATTTATTCTATTACATCTTTTTCTTGCTGCCATGTAACAAATATTATTCATATTAAGTAGCACTGTGAATTTCTCTCTATTTTTATTTTTATTCATTACACTAATTTAAATTAATCATACGTAGTATATTAATTTAATTTAAATCAAATTATTGGATCTTTTTAGATGGT